AGTATATTTTGTGTTGTTTGTTTAAAATTATACTAACAATAATAGATAAACGAACGACTTGAACATTAAAAATTGAATAATATTAATTATTCGATGGTTTATTGTTAGTTTTTATAATTTCACAGCGCTGTAGGGTACATACCAACAAATTGGTAGGTACGTGAAAATATGTGGTTTCTCATCAAGTACTCGTATGTCATAAAATTGTTTTTATGATTATTCATTACATTGTTAAAAAGCCCACGACTTTGCGTTTATGACCGGAGTGCTTAAAATGTCCACCTAAGGATGCTCTTATGTTACATATTTTTACATTGGCAATTACGTATTTTTTATAGAAGTTTTTATCCGAAACACAAAAGTCGTTAAATGTCTCGGACTCATTAATTCTGTAATTGTTTAATATGCTACTTAATGCTTATGGAAATTTTTGGTATTGATTAGTCGTCAAACGCAGGTTCATTGCGACTGAAAAATCGAAAATACACTTTTATTACTTGCTCATAACAAGCAACTGACAAATAAACTATAAAATATAAAAAATATAAAATAAAATATAAAAATTTGTTTTATAAACGATTTTATGAATTATTTAAAAACCTATTGAATGTAATCAAGTTGAGTACTACGTTCCTATTTTTGTAGGTCAACTGGATAGGTACGAAGTAATAATAATAATAATATCTACTTGTAATTTGATCTGTTTTTAAGGTTATATTTTGTCATATGATCGAAAAACCTGGATGTGTCAAATTTTATATAAAAAATTTCGAAGAGCGATTTTGGAAAAACTTTATTGTCTACAGCTATACATGTCTCTTGAGTCACTGTAGAGGAACGATTCTGTACTTTATAATACATATTTATTTTAAAGTTCGACAATATCCCAACAATCATTTATACATTTTATTTATATTACGGACACGGACTACTATAAATATTGAGTAACTTAAAAATAAGTACTTTAAACCTAAAAAAATACTAAATAAAATTATATCTCAACGGAAGTGTCAATAGTAGTGGTAGTTTATTTGCTAATAAAAAGTGTTCTAGTGCGCTATCGTCGTGCTAGTAATTAAATAAATATCAGTGTAAATAAGTAGATATCCACGCAAAAGACCTTGCTCGTGGAGAGTTGTTTGTAAAGTAAATTTGTAATAATTTATGAGCAATAAAATTGAAGTCGTGAAACATTTAATATTGATTTAATAACGATCATTTTGGAAAATACATTTAAAACTGTTCAAGCAAAGCTTCTAACGAAATTATGGTGTTGTAAAATTACCAATAATTATTTAACCAATTTCAAAATTTTTACTGAAATATAGCAAATTTTGAAAAAGCTAATTCCAAAAATATATGCAAGGTGTTAATAATATCAATATTTCTCTGATAAAACTATAAATTACTGCTCGAAATAATGTACAGGATGATACGAGCAATTATTTGCTAGATACATAGTCTGAAAATTGTTAGTTCAGTAGGTACCTATTTGTAGGAAAAATTAATATATTCACTAATATTAAATGTTCGTTTTCCCTTGAATTCGCTCATATTTTCTCCTTTTCCTTTGTATTTTCCTATGATATTCTTAATATAATCCTAATAATTTTTTTGAGACTTCTCTGTTTTATTCTTTAACTTTTTGATTTCGGATATTTCTTTATAGCAACTGTTTCGGTGGTTCAGCAAAATTTGATTTAAAACGTGGTCACAATTTTTATATGGTCTGTTGGCTAGCGTTAACTAAAACTGTAGTAACATCGAGAATAGTATAATAGTTTCATGTAGTGCTGGCAACTGAAATCGGTTTTTTGGTTAGTCGGCTAACCGGTTTCGGATAATTCGGATTTTTACGAAACCCGAAAACCGGTTATTCGATTCTTCAAATATCCGATTATTCAAATAACCGATTATTCGATAATCTTTTCAAACATCTGAATAATCGGATTCTTTCTTTATAGCCAATAACTGCATAACACCATAATATAGTCTTAGTGTTATGTAGTTATTGACACCGGCTATATGGTACATACATATTAGAAGGGTTGATCTATTAAGGGAAATACAATTTATTTTTATATTTTATCCTGGGACGCAGACACAGACTGATAAAAAAAACCAGTCACCCACACCCACATACACAAAACGACCAAATCCATTTATGTAAATAATAAATTGAAGTATCACAGTAACAAGTGCAACTGTTTTAACTGTTTTAACATTTTAAAATTTAAAATATGTGAATATGTGAATAACATCGTATATTTCGTCAGTTTTACAAAGCACGATTTTCAGATATCCGGTTTTGGCCATTATTCGAGTAACGAATTATTCGAATAACCGGTTTTTGAATATCCGGTTTTAGCAACTATTCGACTAACCGGTTTTATCTGAAATCGGTTTTTACGGAACCCGGTTAACCGGTTCCATTTTTTTCCGGTTTTTGCCAGCACTAGTTTCATGAATGACGACGTAACCGATTAGAGAATAGGGTCATTGCTACCAGTGCATTTAATAAGAAATATGTAAAAGTTATAAATAGAAAAGCTTACCAACCCTTTATCTCAAAAGTGAACCGTTCGTAGGTCTACATTCAAATGATTTTTTTTCTTCTTTTTAATTGGAGCCTATATCACTTGTGCAATTTTGTAGTTGGAATATTGCAACACCCTGTATATATTAATTTATTAATTTAATTTCAATTTCAATTTTTGAACATTAATTTCACTTGGCCGAGAATAACAGTCATTCAACTAAAGTGCTAGTGCTAGTACTACTTCTTTACATGAATATTTAAGACAAGGCGCATTATTTTCCTATTTAGCACAATGTGTGACCAGGAATTTAATAATGAAACGTCTACTTACTATACGTTCGGAAAGTACCGATGGTCCATCTGCCGTTACGTGAGAGTGATAAAGTAAGACATAGAAATCCGTGCGATAGAGAAAAATGGCTATAATGAAGGCGTCTAATAGTCACCGCCCATTTCGCCCTTCCACAAATAAGAAGTGGATCTTATTTGTGGAAGGGCGACTTTCCGAACCTGAATTTGGCGCCTTATCAGTGTTACCAGATCTCCTGTTTTAACTGACAGTTGTCAAATCACGTGACGTACCGATGTAATTGAAAACTATTAAACGAACTCATACATTTATATATTTTGCTATATTTTGTGCATGTACTTGTGTTCCTCTATTAAAAAATATATTTATTCAAATCTCCTGTTGAAAAAAAAAATCTCCTGTTTTTTTGGCTACATTCCTACTGTTGACAGAAATTTCCATCTGGCAACACTGCGCCTCATAGTCATTAACTAGTTTTCTTTAAAACGAATCTGAACAACTTTGAAAGCGATCGTCAATTATTGTTTATTGGAAAATATCTTTTTATTGAACATTATTACAAAAAGAATCGATAAATCTATCTTTACCAAATCAGAGTTTTATTGTATTTTTTAATTAAAAATTAGTTTTTAATGAGTAAACAAATTCAGAATGAAAAAAGTTTCATCTCGAGTTAAAAGTGTTAATTTTTGTACATATAATTCTATGTTCAATTTAATTCAAAATGAACAACAAATGCAACAATTTGTTATTTTTTTTTTCTTTTTATGTTTTCAATATTTTTAAGTATGTACAAAATGTTTCATTTGAATTAAGTGGATCGATGAGAAGAGTCATATACTAAAATAGTTAGTTTAGCGTTTTATTTCGAGATTTAACAATTTAAAAAAAAACTGAATCTTTTCTGAAATAAAAAACGAAAAAATGAAAAAATTGAATAAACTCGAAATAAAAACTTGATAAATAAGTATTTTTCCAAATATACTTTGCAAGAACAAACTTCAATGAGTCTCGAAATTTTTATCGTTTTTAATAACATTTATGTATTCGTGATCAGGATGTCTTCAAATTTCAAATCTTGAAAAAAAAAATTAATTTTAATTTTTCATGATTAAACAAGAAAAAGAAAAAAAAACAGTTCTGTGTAACTAAAAGGAAAATATTTCCAAACAGAAAAAAAAATTATTTTCCAGATATATTTTGTAGACCCACAATCAGTACATGAAATGTTATTTTACATTTAAGTAACAGTTTAATAACATTTATGTATTCGGGGTGTATTCAAATCTAAAAACAACAAAAATAAAACATTTCAAATGTTTTTTAAACAAATTTCACCATAACAGCAAAGTAAAAAATTGAGCCCATAAAAATAAAATTATTTTGCAATTCACCTCAGATTCTTTGCTAGATGCTTCTGATTGCAAATCGACACGCTCTTACTTAGTCATTCTGAACATACTCAGAATCTTTTATCAGCTTGTTGTAAAAGAGGGAAATGGTATTTTTTTATTAAAGTAATTTCTAAGGGTTATTTTTTTATAATACAGTATTTATATCGCAGATAATATAATACATGTAGATATATTATTTATATTTCCAATTTTTCCTGGAAAAGACGTTTTTTTCCGACCCCCCAATTTTTCGCGAAAATCATGATTTGACATATTCATGTTCGTGTATTTAGACGAAAACGGCATTTTCTGCTTAAGAGTCAAAAATAGTTACTTTCGTATCTGCTAATATGAGAAATATTTTTACCTATTAAGAGAAAAAAAAGGCAGAAAAATATATTAATACTTATTAAGTGAACGAATAAAATGAGTTAGATGTGCCTGGAGTATCGATATTATATTGGCAATATTTTGGTATTAATCTATTTTCTCTTCCTTTGAAGTACTAAAAAAAAATAAGCCGAATGTAAGGAATCATAGATATCAAACATTAATAGGTTGAACTGGTAACATCATGTAAATTTTAGCAAGTAGCTGACAATTGGTAGCGTTTAACCCACAAATTGAACTAATCGAATTATTCTGTATCGTTTTTTTTAGTACTAGCATACTAGTTCATATTGTATTTGACAAACATAATAAAAAATATTGTTAAAATAATAAGATGTGTTAGTTAACGGACTATCGCATATTCCAGAGACCACAGTGTCGACCAGATTGCAGCCGCGCTCAAGGGATGACAAAAAAACCACGGATTCGAGCAAGCAAAAGGGCCCAGCGGACGAGACCATGGACGCGAAAAATACAGCCGTCGCCGAGGACGTGTACGAGTTCAAATCTGTAAAGGACACCGACTCCTCGCCTGACCAGAAGGGCGCCGACGCCCTGCACCTGGACGCCGACGCCACGGATCCTCTCAGCATCACGGCGCCTCCGGCTGAGGACGCCGCCGCGAAAAGAAACATATCCGAATTGACGGATCCTCTAGAAGAGAATCCTGGGAATGACGAGGAATCTCGCAGGAAGAAGAGGAAGGATGAAACTGCCAAGGAGGGGAAGTCCACCGCACAAAGGAATGCAGGTTTGTTATTTTAAAATAAAATATCTGTTCAACAAACAATGAACGCATTCCTTAATTATTTGATATTTCATTGTGTTACACTTGTGCATATAGATTTTTTTTTCAGGCCAAACTAAAGGGCAGGGTGGGAAACAATCTGGTGGAAGCCAAAATAAATCTGGAACCTTGAGTTCCAACAAGGCTAGTGGGGACAAAAAGAGTCCCTGTTCCAGCCCTAAGCCACCTGCACCAGATGCAGAGACGGACGATGGAAAAACTGATTTAAAGGTAACCAACCAGGAACAATTTCTGTCTAGACTTGGGTACAACTTTTTCATTTTTTTTTTTCAGGTTCCTCCATTAAAAATCGTCATTCCGCAAACCACCAGCAGCGAACAGGAATTAGGTGTTGGAAGGAATGGCAAAAATAGCTCCCAGAGAACGCATCAGGCCTTGCCTTATGTTGTTGCTAGTTCGAATAGTGCTGAACCCAATGAAAAGGAGACTGCTGCTGGTTCAACTAGCCCAGAAACTTCGTCGACAGCCAAAGGGGAGGACAAGAAGGATTCCACCAATTCTGGACCACTCGAGGAGGTAAATATGAAGAGTATAAAAAAGTGTGAAAAAATAGAGGTGATTCTGCGTTGAAAATTACAAAGGATCATTTATGTGGATTTATGAACTTCCAGCAGGGAGAGGAAAATTTAAAAAAAACTTTTTTTTACATTGGAAAAAAGTTACAAAATTACACTTGTTCTCTAGCGAAAATGCATTTTTATTGGATAATCTTAATCTTCCTTTTTGATTATAAAAGGTAGAAGTAACCATCTCTGCAAGAAATTTCTTGCGCAAACTTTTTTCTGTTGCCAATATGGTTTAGAAATCTGTCTTAGATATCATGATTTGTTTAGGACAAATTTTATCTCTTCTGTGATACAAAATTTTTACAAAAAAAAAAAAAAAATCGGTATGGCCATGTTCTCCAGGAATATTTGAAAAATTTTCCAATTTGTGAATATGTAACTTCTATTATTAGTTTTCATTTCAGAATACCAAAAAAGAGCAACTTAAGTATACTGGAGTATTTTTAGTTTAATAACTGAAGACATGTTTGTGTTTAGTTTTCAAGATACAGGGTGTTCAAGTTAAAAATCCTTCACATTTTTTTTTTTTTTTTTCAAATAAATTTAAAACACCTAAAGACACCAAATAAAATTTACACAGATTACTTATTCTTTATAAGTTAAAATGAGAACTACTGTGAACTGTAATTATTTCTGGGCAAATAAACTAGAGGCAAAATTTCTGGACATGAAATCTTCTTAGCTTCTTTAACTAAATGCAGAACTTTAAAATTTGGTTGTACTGGAAAGGAATAGTAAAATTAAAAAAATTTATCAAAAGCGCAGATGATTTTTATGTAAAAAAATCAAATTTTGATCTTGTGACAAGTGAAAAAATACCATATCAAGAAAAAATTTACTTGGCTCTCTTTTTTGTCGTACAAAGGGTAAAAAGTGAAATATCTGAAAGTTTTCAATTGTTTATTTGTAAACATTTTAAATACACTCTTAAGTTTCAGGAATTATGATTTTAAACCCTGTAATCTACAAAAATAAACTTCGAAATACATGTTTACAAGAACATTTTTCTTATTTTGATGAGTTCTATCAGCTAGTCCCCCTTAATTTTCAACGAGGAATCACTTTAATTTTTTCACTTATTTATAACCTATACAGGGTGTCCCGAAATTCATACAACAAAATTTGGTCACACATTCTTAAGACAAATTTAGGGGACCCGTATTTTTTATTTTTGCCAAGTGGCCCCCTCTTTCGGAGTTACAGCCCCCTGAAGTCCCGCCCCTAAGGATAATCTTTTTTTTATATCTCGGAACCCTGTTGTATGAAAATCACTAAATTTGGTACACAGGGGTTTTATGACATGTGGAATCTGATGGTGCTACGTTTTTTGGCGGGGAACCCCCTTAAGACAATTTTTCGTGGACCCCCTTGTCTGGAGCCAAAAAAATTTGGTCGCATATTTAAATTTCTTAAAAATTATCTGTCCACTAGAAAGCCATTAAATTTAGAAACTTTTTGTCTCTTTATACTTTTTTCGTAAAACGCAATGTTTTCGAGAAAAATGTCAAAATGTGATAGAATGCATATCGTGATTCGCCATTTTCCTCAAAAACATTGCGTTTTACGAAACAAATATCGAGACAACAAAGTTTCTAAATTCATTGGCTTTCTAACTAATAATTTTTTAAAAAATCAAGTTTGCAACCAAATTTTTCTGGTTCCAAAGACAAGGGGACCCATGAAAGGTGTCTTAAGAGGTTTTCTCGCCAAAAAGCGTAACACTGTGAGATTCCACATGTCATAAGACACCTGTGTACCAAATTTAGTGATTCTCGTACAACATGGTTTTGAGATATAAAAAAGATTTCTTAGGGGTAGATTTCAGGGGGCTGTAACTCTGAAAGAGGGAGCCAAAAAAGAAAAAAATACGGGTCCCCTAAATTTGTCTTAAGAATTTATGACCAAATTTTGTAGCATGAATTTCGGGACACCCTGTATATTGCTTTTGTCAAATATCTTTTGTGAAATGTGTTTATTTTATCTGAGTGCATTTTCATCTATTCTGTGTCTTTTTTTGTATGAGTATTAATAAATGCAATATTTTCCCAAATTAAATAAACACTAATTATCCATTAGATTTTATTTACACTTAAGATAAATTGAGACAAATTTAATTAAATGCCAGATTTTATAAATATGTGGAAAATGTTGGCTTTAAAGCTTCTACACCATAAAAATTTACTGTATAGAAATCATACACCATATCCTAGATAAGGAATTCTTAATTGGGAAAAAACAAATTTTTTGATTTTCTATTTAATTTTTGTATTGAAAAAGAAGAAAATGTTTGCATTGCTTGTATTAGAGTTATTTCTGTAGCATATCAAGTATTTGGTGTGAAAGAACATATACAGGGTGATTCATAATGATGTGCAATTTTTTTAAGTTGTTTAAAAAGTAATTTTAGTGGGGTACTTCCAATACATTTTTTCGATTTGAGCCCCCCCTGAGAAAGCTAATTTTTTCGGCAATTTTGAGATTTGAATATTTTCTCAGGGGGGGGGGGGTGAAATAAAAAAATATATATAGGAAGTACCCCACCTAAAATTACTTTCTAAACACCTCTTTAAAATATTTGCACATTATTATGAAACACCCTGTATAATTAAATTTGACGAGATTTTTAAATTAAATTAAAAAAAAAATCAATCTGTGTACCATGATTTCAGTGGTTTCCTAATAGCACAACTTTTTTCTAATTTTGAGTTATCATGTTTTTTCACTGATTTCCATGTCTCCATAATAGACGTCCTTATCTTCGACACAACTTAAGCGTGCCCCACAAGAAAGCACAAACTTTAAAGGAGTACATATTGCTCAACTTAAAGAAAAGCAAAAAAATGTATAAACTTGGTCTGGAAACATGTTTTGGAGATATGGGCCTTCACATTAAAAAAAAGGTCTTTTTTGTATTTTAAGAATGTGTAATTACATCTTCACAAAATTTTAATGACTACGTTTAATACTCGCAAAACGATACTAGTAACTATGGAGTTCAATTGCCATTGCCGAAATATGGGGGGTTCCGCCCTCTTGGAGAAGTGTAACTCAAGCCTATGAGTATTTCTGAAATATTTATGCTTGATTGAATTTACATTTACGAAAAAAAAATTAATTTCTTTAGAAAAACTAAATTGGAAAGAGTGATATATCGGGTGTCCGGTAAATAATGGATAACCTTTTAACCGTGGATGGGGGACCCTAAGGTCATTCAGAAAATCGACTTTTGTCTTAGTACAAAGTCCCTTAGTTTTTCAGTTATTTCGTTTTTTTTTTTCGAAATTTCCGCCATAGGTTACTTTGTTGGTCACTATGGCCACAAGAGAAGTTATTATCTTTCAGTTGTTATTTAATTTTATTTAAAAATCACAGTAAATATTCAAATTGTCTGCAGCCTTTGCTGATGCAAGTTCTACACCATTTTATGAATGCCCTTCGGAGCTTTCGTTTATATCTTCGTTGACTAATGTAAGATTTAAGTTTAAGATTTTTTTAAATAAGAACAAGATTGCTAGTTAAAAATTCTGATAAGCATCTGATAATAGCACAATTCAAGAATATTACTCAAAATAGCTGAAAGATAATACGTTCTCTTGTGGCCGTAGTGACCAATAAAGTAACCTATGGCGGAAATTTCGAAAAGAAAAACCAAAATTGAAATACGAAGGGACTTTGTTCTAAGACAAAAGTCGATTTTCTGAATGACCATAGGGTCCCCCATCCACGGATAAAAGGTTATCCATTGTTTACCGAACACCCTGTATAAAAGTAATAAATTAAACAGATAGATATGTGAACATAATTAATCTAACATTATAGCAGAAATAAATGAATAATAATACACAATTTTTGTGTCATGTTTAACAGACACAAATGAAATTAAAAATAATGATTTTTAAATAAGGAAAGGTGTAGTTCCTTTAAAAAAAATTAGTTATATTTGCTATTTGATGGCAGACACTTCGAAAACTAGCGCCAACTTTCAAAATTTTCAGTTATTTTTATTGTTAATTTATTCCTATCCTACCAATAACAGTGTCAGACGATATTTACTATTTTTTGATTATTTGTTATTATTTTTGTTCAGTCTTATTCAGATTTAGTTTTCCTGTGTGTTAACTTAATTTAAATTCCTTTTAAAACTGTAGTTAATGTTGTCCCCTTACCTATGACACTCTCAACTAAAATGCAGAATTATGGCAGGGTTTCATGAGTATTAAATGTAGTCATTACCTTATAAAAAAATCTTTGAGTTATTAATTTTTTCTAATACCAATTTCTTGAAAATAGTGGGTTTCCAGAGCAACATTTACAGAAACTTTTTTGCACATTTTTTTACCAGAGAAATATTTCCTTAAAGCTTGTACACTTTCTCTTGGGACATCCTGTAGAACAATTAGCAGTACTTACCTATATATATTTTTTTACAAAAAAATATTTTCTTATATGAGTTCCTCCGTGTAAATTACGATACCCATGCAATTTTGTTACCTGCTTTAATCAAAACCATTAAAATAATCGGAGGTCACAGACCTCTTGCTCTGTACCCGATCTTGTCGTGTCAGTAGAGTGTGAGGGCATATCGTAGACAGTTATAGTTTGATGTATTTCACACTTGGATGAATCTATTTTAGAGGGGTGGATCAAGCCATCAAAGAGTCTTACGTAGTTCCCACCGGTCGGGAACTACTCAGGCCACAGACCGTGGAAGTAATAATTCCTCACCTCAATTGCAGAGGTCCCATTCTCCCTCTCCTTCGTCATCGCCGGCAGCCCAACCCCAGAACCAAGCTGATCCACCTACTTCTAGCGCTGCTCAGACTAACGCCACCTCAAAGTCTTCAGATTCTCAGGTAACTCCACGATTTCGTTAGCTTTTTTTTGTGTTCATTACGTTCATCATTATCGGTTTTCAGTGCTGTTCGCTTTCATTGGCTTTGCTTCTCACTAACATTCGTATTTTTGTTGTTTGATAATTATTTCTCATTTGCTTATGTGTATTTTCTGTGTGTGTTCTATCCTTGTGATTAACTTAAATATTTTTGTCTCTGTTTTTATTTACCTAAATTTTTTCTTAATTTTTTTAAAAATCGTGTTATTTGCACAATAAAAATGCATTTTATTTAAACATCAAAAATTTAAATATCTATGAAACGTCATGATAGATTTCAGATAAAAAAAAATTACTAATACAATTATTTAAAAGTTGGTAAGTACCTAAAAAATCATGAGGCTTAATATTTTCATGGTAATACAGGGTGTCCCACTAAGGTCGACGATATTAGAGAAAGTACAGGCCCTAGAGCAGGGGTCGGCAAGTAATTTTAGGTGGGGTCCGGATGCTTTTAAAAATTTTTAACGAGGTCCAAAAAAAAATTCATATTTCTTACAAATTTTCATTTGAACTCAAATTTAATCTACTTACTAACCATTAAGAACTCAAAACACTCACACAATTGTAAAATACTAGAAAAAATTATAAGGTTGGCACTCAAACGTAAAAAAACATTTTTTAAATAATTTATTTGAGTATTTATACATTCAAAAAATTTTTGGCGGTTCAGTATTTTACCTTCCGCGGTCCGGACCTGGACCGCGGTCTGCCAGTTACCGACCCTTGCCCTAGAGCTTCGGGAAAAAAATTTTGATGAATAAATGGACCAAGAGAAATCGCTGGAAATAGTTTTCAAGTTCGTAGCTCAGCCGCTAGGGGGCATAATCTACATACCAATATATAGAGTTCTTTTATAAACACATTTTGTTTTGGTAATTAAATGCCTTTTTATTAGAGTCGTGATCCTCAATTCATTATCATTATTTATTTTTTGCTCACTAATTTGCCAATAACTTAACAAAAAAAGATATTGAACCTGTTTTGGTGTCAAAATGTAGCTATTTTTATGCTCCTCAAACTAACCTATAAAAGTTTTATCCTGCTATTTCACTTTTTTAAGAAAACGTGAAACAACCTAAACTTGGATAAATAGCACCAATAAATAAACAACACTTTTGTTAGAAAGGACCCTGTACAAAACTTATGGAAAATGGCTTTCGGTCAAAATGGCTGAAATTGAAATATGATATAGCTCTCACCTTCCTGAGCAAAAGTTGTTGTGGGCTTAAAGCGATTCTATGTGTAGGTTTAAAGATATAGAGCTTTGAAGCTAACGATTTCATAGCACGTTGCTGAATATAAGTGCAGGATAGGTGTATGTATATCTGCTTTTCTCCGTATATACAGGGTGTGTCAGTTTTTTGTAGGCAAATTTTAACAGGAGATAGAACACATGTTTTTAAAAAGAAAAGTTCCTATAAACATATGTCGTAGAAGGCTTCGTTTCCGAGATACGGGTTGTCGAATATAATTTTTTTTTCTCGAATATTCATTATAACTTGCTTAGATTTTTTTCATGTTTGGGAGATAATGCCTATTAATTAAGGGGCATAAAACAAGCGATTAAAATGTTCAAAAACTTGCACAGTGTCGGAGTGGAGGGGGTGCTCAACCGCTTTCTTAAACAGAACTTCTACGCCAATGACTATTTTTTAAAAAACTGTTATTTTCATTATCTACATATGGTTTAACAAAAATAATGTCCATTTTTCTGTCTCGAAATTCCTGTGCGTTTCCGAGTTATTTTGATATTTAGTGTTTGTTGTGGTACTAAATTAAGTAATTTATTTATTATAAATTTATATTGAACACCCTGTATCTCGGAAACGTAGCCTTCTACGACATATGTTTATAGGAACTTTTCTTTTTAAAAACGTGTTCTATCTCCTGTTAAAGTTTGTCTACAAAAAACTGACTCACCCTGTATATACGGAGAAAGGGAGATATACATACACCTATCCTGCACTTCAGCACTGTGCTATGAAATCGTTAGCTTCAGAGCTCTATATCTTTAAACCTACACATAGGATCGCTTTGGGCCCATGACAACTTTTGCTCAGGAAGGTGAGAGCTATATCATATTTCAATTTCAGCCATTTTGACCGAAAGCCATTTTGTGTGGGGTCCTTTCAAACTTATACTATATTCATCAATTTTTTGTGTTGAAATCATTTATGTAAAGAAAATTATAGCATTGCATTTAAAATTATTGAGAAAAATTAATAAAACCGCATTCTTCTGAAATAACGCCATCTATAGATCTCCATATTGAGGTAAATGACATTACACATTCACCATGAGTTAAAGCATGGAAAGACCTTTCCAACGAGGTTTAACACTATGGGCTTTTGATGAGTCAATAAAAAAAGAATGCATTTTTCTGATCACCCTTTCTGTCGAGAGAGAACAAAATGTCAATAACAAAAGTTATGTGCAATGAAGCCGGCTATCCATATTTGTACTACTTAATATACCTGAATAGGAAGCATTTCTGAGAAAAATTCAACTCTATGGTTTGGTATGTTGATTCCACCCCCTAACGGCCGAGCTACGAACTTCAAAACTATTTCCAGCCATTTCTCTTGGTCGATTTATTTAATAAAATTCTTTTCCTGAAGCTCTAGGGCAAGGGTCGGCAAATGGCGGACCGCGGTCCAAATCCGGACCGCGGAAGGTAAAATACTGGAATTTTTTTGAAAGTATAAATTACTCAAATAAATTATTTAAAAAATGTTTTTTACGTTTAAGTGCCAATCTTCTCATTTTTCTAGTATTTTACAATTGTGTGAGTGTGTGAGTTCTTAATGGTTAGTAAGCAGATTAAATTTGAGTCCAAATTAAAATAAAAAAAAATAATATGAATTTTTTTTGGACCTCGTTAAAAATTTTCAAAAGTATCCGGACCCCACCCAAAATTACTTGCCGACCCCTGCTCTAGGACCTATACTTTCCCCAATATGGCCTCGCCGACCTTAGTGGGACACCCTGTATATTTTTGTTTAAGTACTTATTTAAAGTAGGAACATTATATAAAATCTTTAAAATTAATGTCAGTCATTTTAAATATAATTGACCTGCTGACTATTAAAATTAAAACAAGGAAACAGTGATTCTTGAGATGTGCCATGAGAAGAAAACACTCCAAAACTAATCAAATAAACGTATAATCTTTAGTGTATCGCCTTTGCACTTTCTGCATTAATTGAATTTTGTAAATAGTATAAATGGGACTCCATACAATTCGATGCATATTTTAGTTTGCAACAAATGTTGCATATAATTATTAGAATATTATTAAAAAGATGTATTCATCAAACGATGATTTAGCATCAAATATATCAAGGTCAGTAAATTGTGCAGTTCTTCTTTAAAAGATTCCCCAATTTTATAATGAAAATTTAGAGTATTTTCGTGCCGACTGTAGGACATAATTTTACATTTGCTTACAATCAAAAGTAGATAAATTTTTGAACACTAACTATTCAATTTGTCAAGATTATCTTGTAATCTAGCGCAATCAATAGAAGATTTAAGAGTAACAGATAATAGATATGACATTTAGTTAGATCGTTGATAAAAATAACAAATAAGAGTGGCCCCGGAATTACCCTCGTGGAGAACCCTCAATGTTGATAAGATTTATCTAATTGGAAGATACAGTACTGTAAAAATTGGTATATCGTACTGTTACAATTTTGAGGAAGTTATAAGTTACATCTTTGGAACTTCAGGAAATGGAGACAACTGATTCCTGGCAACTGTTTTTTTAGTATTTTTAACTTTATTAAGAAGTTTTCTTTTAATAATTTTCTTTTAACTTTTTTTAACATGAATCGATTCACTTTCCGAATCAAAGATCAGATTGATTGAATAAACAAAATCACAGTATGTGTGATTCCGTCTTTCCAATATACACATTCATACGATTTCTTTAATCAAAAATATTTGACCTTCATTTGTTTTTTTTTAATTACTGTGTACTTATAAATTCAGACACTTCCTATGTAGTGACCAGCATTTAAAAATGTTTTATTATTAGATTTAATAACTGTCGATTCAAGCAATTATCTCTCCATTGATATCCGTCTTTAGGGTCTTAACAGGAAATTAAAAAAAAAAAAATGATGTAGCAATACTCTCCTTTATAAAATGTTGCAAAATTTAACGAAGAAAACTTATTCAGAATCAAATTTTATACATACCAATTTTATAAATGACTGGAAGAAATTAATGAGATAGATTTATATTTATTTTTTTATAAGATTTGGAAATGAGAGGAAAAACTAATGATTTAGATTTTTCCTCATTTTTTAAACTGAAAGTTTTGTTGCTGTTGCTATTTGAAAAAATTCAACTGCTGTTTAAGAAAAGGTTATTGAGGTACTAAAACCTAACGATTAATAATATTTTTTATGAAAACTGATCTAAATAAATACTTAGTTGAAACTAAAAAAAGTTAACAGAAATTTAATGCAATCTAGATAGCGATCTGTTTTCGTATGAAGTGACTTTTGCTGCATTGTTATTATATTTGTAAATTTTCCAGAGGACCCTTAAAGACAAACGGCATTTTAAAATTTTTTAGAGTTTTTACTGATGCAGATACTATTGCCATTATCGATACTGTTCAAAATCTAACAATTTTTTTCCATTTACTGGCTACATTTTGCCTGTTAAGTATTAACAAGTCTCTATTATTAAAATTTTACAAATGCAAACAGTGACTCCACAAAATTATAATTTCATTTTAAAAAACAAGTTGCAAAATTTATTTATATTGTTATTAGCAATTATAACATATTACTAAAATTTTACAAAGGCAGTGACTCCAAAACATTAACTTCATTTTATTTATTTATTTATTTTTAAAAAATAAGCTAAAAATAAGTCGGCATACTAAGGTATAATTTTTATTAATTATACGACTGTAATATTTTCCACTTATCACAATTTAACAGATAATTTTTTCCCATCATGGGTCATACCTATCTACATATGTTTTTCATTCATAAAAAAAAACTCGTGCATGGTCTTCTAATTTAACCACACTATCATTTTGGAATATTTCAGTATGTATTTGTGTTTCAAGCTGTCTCTTTTAATTTTGTAAGTGTAGTCAGTGTCATGATTTTAATGTGTCCCAAAGTGAGTCCTTTGAAGAAGATTAAACTCTTAAGGGACAGATCCAAGCATTCTCTGTGTTACTCGATAGAGGTGGAAGAGGTACAAAATTACTATTCCCATAGTATGATTTTCATGACATACTGAGCTTCTGTGATTCAAATTAGCATTTCTGTAGTACGGGACAGTAATTTTAATGTTTTAATGTTGGTGAATTGTGATATATGTATGGATGGCTTAGAGATAGTCTCAGGTACGGGACAGTAATTTTAATGTTTTAATGTTGGTGAATTGTGATATATGTATGGATGGCTTAGAGATAGGTCTTATTTTGATTAAAAATTTGCATGTACTGTTTGTTTGTAGGCAAATACAAGTTTTTAAACCACTATATAGACTGTGTCAGAATTAATTTGAATCCGGGAATCTGTAATATTACTTCTATAATAAATACAGTTTTTCATATGAACATTTCTTTAAAAATGTTTCATCTGCGATACAAGGTGATAAGAATTAAAAGTATATATTTTGTATGTTTTCTAAACTGAAAATAAAAGTCAAATATAATTTGGAACCCATCACAACCTGGATAGATTGTGTATCAATTAAAAATCTAATTGTAAACCTGATTTAAAAAAAAATATTATGATATTATATTTCTTTGACAATTTTATGATATTACAATTTTTTAACAATTTTCGTTTAAAGTACAATAGTGGAATATGTCAAATTTATAACGAGTATAAAAAATAATAGAACTACACATGTATCAAAAATCAGAAGAATAATTTAGTAATTATATCAAATAATCTGTTATTGTAATTTGTGTTTAGGGACACATTATGATGCCCTTAGAAAAGTTTGTTAAATCAGCTTATCGTTTAGGACATTTATATTCTGATATATTTAACGTTTATATTCGAATTAAAACACATAAATATGAGTTTTTATTCTAGTGTGTGTGGTATACGTTGGTAAAGTTTGTTATAGCTGAATATTTTTTCAAACGTGATCAGTAATTAATTCATTATATTGGAAGACTTGTGGTATATGAAGAAACAAGGATTTTCACCATAGATTTTAGGCGGATATACAGGGTGTCGCGCTTGAATATGATACAAGCCTGTAGCTTCAGTTTTTTGGCCAATTTCAAAATTTTTTTTAGATTGTAAGATTAAAAAAACTAACTGTAATGCTGTTGTTTTTATTAATGCAATTCACGGCCAACTAGGACGTGTTTTTTTGACGTCAAAACAGCTAATTGGTATTAGCGATTTTTTTTCTAAAAAACAGATTACGTAGGTATTCTCATTCAGCATCCCTTAAAATGTCTTATCACCAAGTTTCATCAAATTTGATACATCTTCAGACGAGCACTAGTTGGCCGTATATTGCATTAATAAAAAACAGCAGAATCACAGTCAGATAGTTTATTTAATACACTACATTTCATAAAAAAAAATTTAAATGAGCCAAAAAATAAAGAAGTTACAGGCTTGTATTACATTTCGCAACATAATGGAGTGCTCAGCTGAAGATGTATCGATTTTGATGAAACTTAGTGGTAAGATGTTTTAAGGGATGCTGAATGAGAATATGTAATCTGTTTTTTAGACAAAATTGCTAATACCAACCAGCTGTTTTGTTGTCAAGGACACGCGTCCTAGTTGCTTGTGAATTGCATTAATAATAACAGCAGTGTCACAGTTACAGTTATTTTACCCTACATTCCCAAATAAAAATTTTTGAAATTAGCCAAAAAATAAAGAAGTTACAGGCTTGTATCATATTTAAGTGTGACACCCTATATAAATTTGTTTGTTACAACCAAAAATTTGCTGTAACTGAGTATGTTATATAAATATTAAACTTATATTTTCTAAACTTTATCGCTCTGTATCTCGAAGAGGGTGAATTTTTGGAAAAATGTTCATATGAAAACGTCTGTCTATTTAATAATTACTATCACATATCCTTGGGTTCAACAGTAAATTTTACTCACCATGTAATTAACGTTAAGTTGCAGTTTCTTGTTACATCCAAAATCAAATTAATACAATAATTAAACAATTAAAACGCAGAATGTTTAAAAAATGTAAAAAAACTCCATCACATTAAATTGAGTCAAAGTAGTCATAAACACAGGGTGTCAAAGATTCAAAGCAAATGTCACTGAAGATGATTGACATAGATTAATGAAACTTAAAGATAAAATATCACTAAATTTGCGTACAAGTAAACAACCATGGATGTAGATACTGAAAAACACCTCATAATATCGACACCACTTAGTCTTTGGAATATTCAGTTTGCCCATTTGATTCTTAATTATTGCATTTCAAATGAAAAATATTGTTTACAGATATTTGAAATCCTAGTCATTTTCGAGTAATTACTTGCTTGTTTAACCCAAATAAACTGCTACACAGTTGAATATTTCTACTCCACTGATTTTTTTGTAAAATAAAATTATTTACTGTATATTCAACAATTCAACATTGTGGAAAGTTTATTTAAGTTGAAATAAAATGACAAAAATGACTCATTATTAAAATAAAAAAATAAGAGATTTATTTTTTCAAATACAACAGGAAATCAAATAGACTGAATTTTCAGAGCTTAAAAATTCTTAGGGCTGGTATCACCCGTACCTCTGCCATTGGGTGAAACAATTGTATGCAAATTCAATTAATTCAATTTATTGACTTAAGTCAACCAGCCCGAGTTTTATTAATCTGCATCAAACATCTTCAGATGTACATATGTATTTTTTAACAACTTTGACACCCTGTGTCTCAGAAATTAAGCATTTTCAGACCTATGTTTAGAGGAACTTTTTTCCTATAGTACTTACTAAGTTTATTTTTACTTTTTTTTTCAACACCCTTTATTTTAAAACCAATGTTTATGACATGAAAGTAAAGAAAAAAAATCTTTTAGGCCCAACAAAATAATGATACGGAGACTACAACGTCTTCGTCCTCATCCACGGCCACCGTTAGCACTCCGGCCCCGGTAGAGCTTCACCCTCGTAAAAGGAAAATGAAGCAGAACAAAGAACAGTCCGCCCCACAACCCGAACCTCCAGAGGTGCCTCCGGAGGCTCAAGTTCACCCTCACGAACAACCAATCACTAACTGTTATCAACTATTCTTGAATATTCGAAATCAGGTAATTAATTGTACAGAATAATAGCGTACCGTCCACTCGCCCACACCATTTCTATGTTATGTCGATTCTTTGCAGATAAATAAACGCCGCAGGGGTCTATTTCCGGTACAGCCGAAACCACCGCAAGGTTTCAAAGACTACTTGATGAACCGTTGCACATATGTACTTGCCGGAACAGCACCTACTACACCCAATATTACTTACCCCCAGACCTTACCGTCTCAAATGAAGGACTTGTTCACTGAACAGGAGAAGGAGAGGTACAGACTGCGAACTCAGGTGGGAATTTGTGCGGTCGAATAAATTGTTACAGTACTTTGATGAGAGTTAATTGATAACAATATCGTTTTAATTCCAGCACGTGATAGAAAAGGAGAAACTGGTGCTGTCTGTGGAGCAAGAAATTTTGAGGGTACACGGCAAGGCGGCCAGGGCTTTAGCCAATCAGTCGTTGCCATTTTCCGTCTGCACTATTTTAAGGGATGAGGAAGTGTACAATTTGATCACTCCCGAACAGGAGGAGAAGGACAGGAATGCTCGGTCACGATATAATGGTAAGTGAACTTAATATTTTTATTATTTTTTTTTTATTTGAGAGGTCAGGAAGTAAAGGGTGTCCCAAAATTGACGTTAGAAATAATTTTGATAGAAAACACAGATTTTTAATTAAAAATTGTAAATTTTTTATTGATTCATTAAGATGACGCATTGCATGTCGTCAGCGTACATTTCATAAGATGGCACGTAATAGCTGACTGACAATCGCAAACACGATGACAAATGTTGTGATATTCGTGTTGAGCGACCCCAAAAACCCCAAGGTAACGAGTTTCAACTAAGTTTATAACGAATTTCCACAAAACTCCAGGAGACGACGTGGTAACGGGCCACCCTGGGCACTAGGTACCTCGGAGACTGTTGCCGTCGTGATATTCGTGTTTAGCGACCCCAAAAACCAGCGAGTAGCAAAATTGAAGTCATTTCCGTCAATATTGTCCAAATTATAAATTTTTCATTTTGTAACTCTTCGAGATGCAATTTTAATGATGCATTTTTCTTACGCACCGATGCAATTTTCATTTCTCATTGATCACATAGGGCAGGGTTTATAGTTCAAAAATAATAACAAATTCCCTGACTTTTCCAGGTTTTCCCTGATTTATAAAAAAAAATTGGTATTTATGCATTAAACTTTTTCTCAACTGGACTCCATAATCTTTTTTATACCCAAAGAACCTCTTATAAAGGTTTCAAAACCACAAATAGTTTTCTCTTTCAAGAACCCAGGGCCGGCTTTCGCAAAATTTCCAGTTGCAAACATCAAATTCCCTGACTTTCATGAATATTTTTTAAATTTCCTGACTATTCCCTGTTTTTTATGAAGAATAACGAATTCCCTGACTTTTCCCAGTATTCCCGGTTTTCGCGGCCGCTACGAACCTTATAGGGTCAGAAACTTTCTGGATGCTCCTAACGAATCGAATACAAAAAACTGCATCAAGATCCATCTTACTGCACAAATTTTGGAGGTAAGGCCGTTTTTAGTGCTTTATTTCGTCGACTAAACCTGTATATTTATAGATTCAGATATAAAAGACCAAAATTTTGGATCACTTGCTCTTGCTTTGAGATGTATTTCTGAAATCATTTGCAATACCTCATTTTCCACGAAAGACAAGTCTTGCTTGAAGCTCTTGATAAGTTACAATATTCGTCAATTTGTTAAAATCGGAAAAACGTCTCAAATTTCTTCAGAATATTTCTTATGTCTTTCTTGTAAATATCATAATTTAACTCACGACTGGCCTTTGCTTTCAATTTGCTTTCATTTCAATGTATTCAAGGAATAGAAAGAAGCGAAAGGCATTATTCTTTATTATTATTACTCCGCCGTACGAGGGCTGACTAAAGGCTGCTTTATAATTCAATTTGAAGATAATTTATTTAGGGAAAGTGGATAGTCTCCGCGATCGACTTCCGATGCTATCGTGATTGACTGGTCGATTAATCCTTTGAGCGCCCCTGGTATAAAGTTATGTATGGAATAGCATATCGGGTAAATAGCCTCCATGGCTTTGCCGACACTTACACATTCTTTTCTTGAAATTTTCCACGACTATTTTCCTTCAATCTTGTTGAATTTTATTGATACAGCGCTCATTTCCCTTCTTCAAAGTGTGGGTGGTTGTGAGCTTGTTGGCATAAACCTTAGACTTCAAAAATTCCCAAAGAAAAAAGTCCAACGGTGTTAAATCGTATAATCTGGGCAGCCAATTTTGATCATCAAAATGGGAAATTACACGACCAGGAAATTACTCAGTAATTGAATTGTTTCTGGGATTGTATAGTATGTGGCACCATCTTGTTGAAACCACGTCGTCTACATCCATATCTTGTAATTTAGGTACAGAAAACTGGATTACCATATCGCAGTACTGAGCATCATTAGCTGTTATTGCCTGACCAGCCGCATTTTCAAAGAATGGTCCGATGATATCTCTAGTGCAAAGTCCATGCCAAACAGTGACATATTGTGAATGCATTTATTTCTCAACAATCACCGGTGGAGGATTTTCTGAATCCCAAATGCGACAATTTTGTCGATTAACAAAGCCATCAAGATGACAGTGAGCTTCATTGCTGAAGATGGTTTTGTTCGAAAAATCAATGTCTACTTGTTGCTTCACAATCCATTATTCAACAAATTCTCTTAGTTCTGCTTGGTCAGTAGGCGTCAGTTCTTGAGTCAGCTGAACTTTGTAAGCATGAAAATGCAAATCTTTCTTGAAAATTCGTTGTAGAGAAGTTCTCCAAATCTTCAATTCTTGACCACAGTGTTGAATTGATGTTGCCAGATTCTCAGCAACACTCTCACGAATTACTTCGATGTTTTATGTTGAATAACGTGTTGAAGCATGGCCAGAACTTTAAAATCACAAATTGATCCAGTCTGCCTCAATTTTTCAATTAATCTCTACAGTTGAACTATTTCGACCATATTTTGTACGAAAATTGCGAACTGTAACTGCAAAACCTTCATTATTTTTAAAGTATTGCTCAACAATGAAAATGCGTTGTTCTTTCATGTATTGCTCCATTTTTAATAACCCTGAACAATCACACTTGTCTTTTTTTTTCGTTGGTAACAGTTTATCGCTCAAATGGCGCAAAATTCAAATCTTGTGTGAACTTTGGGACACCCTATATCAAGGGTCGGCAACTGGCGGACCGCGGTCCAGATCCGGACCGCGGAAGGTAAAATAATGGACCCCCAAAATTTTTTTGAAAGTATAAATTACTCAAATTATTTAAAAAAATTGTTTTCTATTGATAATAATACGTTTGAGTGCCACCCTTATCATTTTTACTACAATTGTGTCATTGATTTGAGTTCTTAATGGTTAGTAGGTAGATTAAATTTGTGAGTGCAACTTAAAATAAAAAATTAGTAAGGAATGTGTTTTTTTTGTGGACTTCGTTAAAAATTTTCAAAAGTATCCGGACTCCACCTAAAATTACTTGCCGACCCCTGCCCTATATAATAAAACCACTATTCCACTTTGTCATTGTTTTTACTACATCTTCAGTACTGTATGCAGTATGTTTTAGAGACAAAGTTAAAATGCATATTTTCAGTTTACTTACTATTATTAACACGTAATTCTGAAGATGTACCTAATAAAAATAATGAAAAGTTGACAAACCATGTTTTTCGTTATAATTCTTGACCTAATCCAAATCAAAAAAGGAATAGTAACAACCAGAGGTCATTAACTAACTATTTATACAAGATTATTACATGTATACAAAACTGTAAAAACTGAAAAAAAAATCAGCAAATTTTGTAATGGTTGGGTAAAATAGGGAAATATCAGGGGTATAGAAATTAAAATTTACTACCTTGTCTACCGATATCTTGTTACATGAAAAAATTTCACTGCACATTCGCTATGATATCCTTGTCCCAGTTAAATCCGGACCCTGCAATGTAGTTGGTGTGTGCGTACGATATTTATCACAAAAAAAATTGCTGTGAAATATGAAGTGCCAATGTATGTAAATGTAATCATGCTAATACGAGTGAAACAGATATTTGCAACTCTGACAAATTTTATTAATTTAATGAGATGTTGAATACATTCTCGCTGTTTTTTCATGGGAATTAATGCTTTATTAAAATAAAAAAAATTGTAAAAAACATGTCACTGAAAGCAGTGTCTATCTTTATGGCAGCATTTTAATATACGTCAGAAAAATGACATGTCTTTTGAGAGTATCCACGAGTCGACCCATTTTTTGGCATCTTCGTAAGAAGGAAATGCTGCTTAGCTAGGCCATGTGCCATTGATCAGAACAAGTGATAATCGGAGTGCATTTTAGAAAACTAATTATAACAATTTATTTGATAAAAAATTATCTATAATTTCAAATTCGTGTTCCGGGAAACATGATTGTACTGTTACCCCTAAAAAACTGACCCCCCCACTTAAAGTTACACCCTGTATACGTATGTAGCAAAACCTTTAATAGCTATCATAAATTTTCTGGTCATTTTAACATCATCTGCAATATTTTGAGTTGATTTCTCCAGATGTTATTCCCACATCATTTTTTAGGGCGACTCTTTCTGAGTTGGTTGCAAGACGTAGACGACAAGTGGGAGAAAATTAAAGAGCACATGCTACTCCGGCACCACAACGAGGCCGAATCGTTACATGCTGTGCAAAAAATGAATTGGGAATGGAAAATGAAGGAACTGAATCTCTGTGATAGAAAGACTACGCCTAAAATAGATGAGACTCATGTACCGATGGTGCATGTGTCCGACGATTTCGACCTTTTACCGGCTTAAAAGGAGCGTGTTAAAAATTAAGTATTTTTGTTACTCATTGTGAATAATAATTTACTATAAAAGTAAAATTTATATTTACTGTCTTAAAATGTGTTTTATTGCTAGATCCTTCCTGAATATAAACCAAAAAATCGTCTTTCTAATTACCTGCTGTGGGGTGAAGAAAAATTGGTAAGAATTTGTGTGTTCGGATATTTGTATTACAAAAAGAACAAATTTCCGTTTCACCGTTACTTACGTACCTCTTAAATTACTATTACAATTCTCTACAGGGTGTTAAGTACAATAAATTTTAAGAGGCGATTCTTTTAGTGATTTTAATTCAAAAATGTTCACAAAAAGGTTCACAAGTCCATAATTCGATAGTTTTCACATTTTTCTAAATGTCTGAAGATGTTTCATGCAAAATAATGAAACTTGGCTTAATGATTTATTTGGTTAAAGGTCCACTGAATTCAGATATTCGGACTCTATAGAATTTTTAACTCTTTTGAAGTGGAACGTTGAAATTTTATTTTTTTATTTTGTTTTGAGTACCCAAAAATTAATTAAATTCAATGTAAAGAACAAAATATTATAATGAAAAATTGATATTTAGAGCCTCTTACTAAAGGGACCCACGACTTTGTCCCGTTTTAAATGTCTCATGATGTTTATTGCAAAATAATGAAATTTGGCTTAATGATTTATTTGGTTAAAGGTCCGCTGATTTCAGATATACAGAATGAAGAATTTCGTGTATTTGAGTGAACCTTAAAAAATAACGTCAAGTTTATAAAAAATTTTATTGGGACACCCTGTAGAATTTTTAACTCTTGAAGTGGAATGTCGAAATTTTATTTTTTTGTTTTGAATACCCAAAAATTAATGATTAATTAATGAAATTCAATGAAAAACAAAAAAATTATAACGAAAAATTGACATTTAGATTCTCTCTCACTAAAGGACCCCACAGATTTTGGCGCGATCATGCGAACAGGACCGTACGGACCGAATCGCACAAACTGAGAAAGGCAATGTATTTGACCGAACCAGATTTTGCATGATGGTGAAACCGTACTTTTTTTCTCCACACGCCATGTCTGGTATGTTCGTGCAGATTCATGCGACCCAAGTCACGCAAATTGAATGAAGTCTGTGGGGCACTTAAGAATCCCAGACATTCAACACCACTGAATATTTTGGAAATTACATCACTGCTTCTAACTCCTGGTGGTGATTCCAAGACAATTTTTTTCCAAAAAAACCATTTTCTTATTTATTACTTTAAAGTAAAAAAATGTTTTTAATTCACATTATCGTTACTAACTTGAACTATTCCTTTCATAGAAGTTTGTTTTCCAAAAAAGAAATTGGGTAGGTATAGGTTTTTTTACTAGAAATACATACACTTTTAAATACCTACACCCTACACCTTAATCATGAGGACTGAAAAATCAGAGGCGTATAAATTATGCTCTTCGTTAGATGCAGCAGGGGACATGGCCTTGAAAAAAAATTATGCAATTTTCAGATTATCCATGAATTATATATAAAATCATTAAAAAAGAAAATAATTCTACAATTAAGTTTAATGAAGTACTTGGTAATAGTAATGTAAGTGAATCAAAGTTAAATCAGAAATAAGTAAATTAATTAAAGATTTCTGGGGTTTTTAATAAGAGCTTTTGACAAACCCCGCCTCCCCATTTTTTGAATTTAAAGGCAGAAGTATTTTGTCCACACCACACCAGAAAATGTTCATTTAGTTTCGTCAATACTTCAAAGAATATGTACCTATTCCACAGTGCTATAGGAATGACACTATTTTCGGAACTTGAATTAGAAAGTTCAATTCCTTTATGCTAGCTCTAGGCTGACTGTTATTTGAAAAGCTATTGGCTCAACTGTAATCGAAAATTAGGTACCAATTTTCCACAATCTTTTAAGTGCTGTCTGGAATCACATATTTTTTAAATAGGTAAAAGTTGGTTTGTAGAATATTACAAAACATTAATTTCTTTTTTCATTCTGGTGTATATACAGAGCTATTACCTACCTACCAACCAAGTTAAAATAACTTGAATCACCTAAGTATTTCTATTTTGCGAGTTTCGTTGATTTGTTGTGGCAGAACTCGAAAGTATATTAAGATTAAGAAGAAAATAAGCATTTATTAAAAAAACTGAGAGTTTACTATTATCCATATTAGATATTTATATCCTGTAGTAACATAAATAAAATACATTAATTAAAACGAAACATAAAAATATTAGAAATGGACTTGTAGTGTGATTACATGTAACGTAATTTATGACACAAAATAATACAGAATGACAACATAGAATTCAATTTGGTAAAATTCCTGGATTTCTATTACAGTAATAGGTACCTAGGTACTTATTATTATAACAAAATTTCATATGAAGGCTATTTTTGCGATTTCGCAAAAATGTATTCATTCATTTCTCCTTAGAATGTCATTCCATTAGGACTGGGCGTTCTTGGTACAAATTTTATTCTTATAGTGTCATTCTGTGCTCTTAGCACCATATCCGGAACAAGGACAATACTATCTGGTGTATCCACTGGTTGCAACTCAAAATTCCTTAAAATTCCACACAAAGCAACTTTTAATTCCAAAATAGCAAATTTCTGACCTAAAACATATGTTTTGAAATAGTAAAATTTACAGAATATAATTTTTTATATGATATTAATTTTTATTAAATATCGTTTCAGTGGCTCAACTGCGATTGTTAAAAAAATATATATATAAATATAGAACGAGTCAATTTTTTGTAATAGATCCAGTATTTTTAATTTATATTATGATCAGTCATGGACATCTGCAGAAAATTTGACAGGGGATAAAAGTAAACAGCCCGTAAAATTTGTAAGTCTATATTAGTCAACCTTTGAACAATCCTCGGGCATGTCACTTTAAACTTATTGACGTTTCGAGAGACATCTCTTTTTTTTCGGGAGAAACTGGAGATTATGTTCTCTTGTCGATACGTATTTGCTGTTTTGAAGTCACTAGCCTCTGTGACAATTTGTCTCTTAATTTTTACTAGAGAAGTTGTTTTGAAATTTTTGTTCTAAATCCTAATCTTGATTTAAATTATCGCGATTTTTCTGAATTTCCCTTGCTTGCCTGTAAACTAATGGCTAAAATTTTCTACAATTCCGGTATAGTTTAGATCTATTAAATGCCTTATGTATTTGTTATGTGCCCACAACTGCTAATTTCTCTGCGTTGTCACTATATCTTAAAGAAATCGACAGTTATTGTGCATAGAGCAGATACAGAATATTTGATATACATATGCAATACCAGAATTCTAGAGAGAAAGTGGGAAGCTTTAAGCCAAGATTGAACAAAAAGTAACAAAATTTCAGAAAACTCCAAAATAATTTCCACCTAAATAGGGGCTTAAAGGATAAAACTCTTCGGAAAAATGAAGCGCACGCCGTAGTCCAATGCCACGATCACGCAATTGTAAATAGTGACCAGAAGACTTAATCTGCTGTTTTAGAGTTTCTTCTGAAGAGAGTGATGTGTCTCCAGAAGCGTCAGGGGTTGTAAACCGACAACACGTCAATGGTCACGGCAATTCAGCAAATGCCTACCCTTACGGACCATTAAGCTATCAGTCTTATAAGTAATAGGCATGGATTATATGTAGGTCATACAGTAAATATACCTATGCAATTTCTAGGACCTGCACTGAAAGGCACGAAAGCGAAAGGATGTCGGTCCTGACAGTTCTCTGGTAAAAATCTGTCCGGGTCAAACTTCTCTGGATTTGGCCAAGTTTTTTCACTTCTATGTATATCAAAAATGTGGACTTGAGCCATTGTTCCTTTTGGTAGAATGTAGCCGGTACTGGTTTTAACATCCTCTTCTAATACTCTTCCAATAAATGGAACGCTTGGATAAATTCTTAGGCATTCTTTAATACATCTTTCCATGAGTTTTAGCTCTTGGAGATCATTGTAGGTGGGTTGTTCTGCTGAATCTGCGAGAACATAATGGATCTCTTGTAAAATTGATTCCTGAAAGTAATTTTAGTTTAAAAAAAGACAAAGTTTGTAATACTTCGTTTCTACAATAAACTAAATTGATATTTTTCAAATATATACAATTTTAAACATTAAATAGGTTGAAACATTGATTTTCTGATCTTTGTATTAAGCATTATGTAGAATGAATTTATTTATTGCGGACAAGATACATAATTTAACGTATGACACGAAGAAATACGTTACCTGCACATCTTTATGGCTAGCAAGTTCCATCAGTGTAAAGCAAAGTGCCATTGAAGTTGTATCATGTCCCTAAAAAAATATTATTAACTAAACAGAAATTTCAATAACCAAAATATTATGAGCTTAGATAAAATCTGAAATATTTTGAAATAGGTATATGCCAGATATTTTGAGAACTTTTTCGACAGAAATGTAAATACTGGTTTGCCTTTGTAGGTATATTCAGTTATAATATCACAAGAGCATAGAAAATATTCGATTATACTTCCGAGTCACGAGACGTATTCTGCGAAACACCACGACAGCGTAGCTGGAGTCAAGGAATTATAAATATCCTTGGCTGGAGTGGTGTTTTAAGGATATACGTCGAGTGTGGAGGTTAGTATAATCGAATATTTTCGTTTGCTCGAGTGGTATTCGATACGATTATATAATTCAGAGCTTGAACCGAAGCGTTCCATTTTTTTTTTTGACGTCTATTGACAAATGTTAAAACTATCGTTACCACTTACCATGACATAGTTCACATTGTTGGAGGAGGCGAAACACCAAAACGGTTATACCACGTCGTCAAGAGTATAATCGCTTATCAATACATAGTAACTACGTAAAATTTGTAATTGCTATTGGCTAAATTTCTAATGAATTATATAATCAGAATTACCACTGTAAATGTCATAGCAACCCTTCAGAAATGTACATGGTGTAATTAACAAGTGTACACTGACCTCAAACATAAAAGTGTTAACCTCATCTTGAATTCCTTTGTCATCAATACTTCCACTACTGATTTTGGCATTCAGCAATATGTCTAACATAGCTAATTTTTTCCTTTTCGAATAATTAAATTCCTCGTCATTTTCGTTTTTGGGTATCGCAAACTTCTCAAATTGTTTTGATCTCTCTGATATCACCCTATCTGTATAACCGTGTAGAATTTTTACCATTTGTGTCTCCTTGTAACCAAGGTATGTAAAATGGTAAAAGAACCAATTGAAATGGAACCATGGTCTTAATAATCGCTGCACCATTATCTTTCCTATTTGATGAGTGGTGGTATAATAGGACTTATGCTCTTCATTTTCAAGGTTTAATTTAGCACCCATCGAAGTCTCTGCCGTCAAATGTATACTCGTAGCATGTAACAGTGACTTTGCGACACACTTTCAGGGTTGGTTAATTCTGTTAAAATAAACAAAAAAAAACAAGAGCAGCAATTCTCAAAAGTTTGGACAAGGAACACAGATTTGTATCAGTTACTCGAGAAAACAACTACCCACTGAACTAAATAGATCCCCAACCAGCATTGAATTACATCCGCTATATCGAGTAAACAGCTACGATCATTCAATAGCATTACCAATTGATTGGGTGTTTTCTACAATAACATTATGGCTAAAAATTTTATTTTGCGTAATGCCATAGTAGTGCATTCATGGTACCTACGGTTTATTAGGTCACTCTCTGCCAGTAATGACAAAGTGATGACTTACGCCAGTAGGCACTAAGTATCAGTGATATTAAGATATACCTTTTTTAAATTTAACATCAATGAATTCATTTTAAATCCTTTCGGATTCCGACGCCAATTTTTATTCATTGTTCAAATTTTACATGAAGATAGCTAATGAAGGAGTCAAATTGTACTATGTTTAAAGTTTATATTTTCGATTACATTTGATAGATCGATCATAAACTGTGCCACGATAAATCTTTGTGGACTCTTAGAAATTCTTTCATTAAAAAAATATTTACTTTTGTTTTTTTTTATTTGTTTTAACTAGATTCAACCCTCCAAGTTTGTCGCAACGTTACTGTTATATCCTCTGTATATTTTAAATATATGATAAACAATTTCGTAAATTATTTGTACCACCTACCATTAATTGCGCATAATGTAAACTGCGAGATATATGGTACAACATTTATAAAAGGTTTGTGACAGATTTTCCTCAACTCTTTTACTAAATGATCAGTTTCAGTTGTAAATACACCAACAAACTGCTGCAAGATACTGAAATGAAAAGCAGGAGTTAAGATTTTTCTTCTTGTTTGCCATTTGGACCCTGAAAAGTGAGATCATATTTTGTATATTTTTGAATATTAATTACATCCAAATTTCATATTGTGAAATTTTGAGTTAAACATATTTAAATAATTATTATTTAAAAAGCATTTGATTAAATTGAGGTAGAAAAAACACCCTGTATATTTTTACATATTTGGATAGAACGTTCCTTGTCGAGCGTAGTCATATAGTGTTTGTTGGGTCCATCTCTAATAATAGGCGAGATAATATTAAAAAACGAAATGATGTTTTTTTTATTAAGAAAATAAGACATCTTGTATTGTTAGACCTCTTTTAGGCATTTCTGCCTTTTTTCCAATTACGTAAGGATTTAGATTTAGTTGTAACATATTTTGACATATCGGACATTGATATAGTCCAAAATGCGTATAGGTATTTTAAGTAAATCTCACTAATTAGACCGTGTGAGGCCAATTACTCATGGACAATCTTATAAATGGTAGGTCGTGACAGTGACAGGTAGTAATGCCATGATAACATTGTTATTGTTTGACAGTTTGTATTAGTATTTAATTAAAATGGGTTACACAGAAGTAGAAAATTGAAATATTATTAGGAATTAAAATAAACTATGGAGAATATCTTAACTACTCTATCTTAATTCCTATAATATTTAAATTTTCTACTTCTGTGTAACCCATTTTAAATAAATAATAATACAAACTGTCAAACAATAACAATGTTGTCATAATATTACCTGTCACTGTCACGGCCTACCATAACCATTGTCCATGAGTAAATAAGCCCCTCGCGGACTAATTAGTGCGATTTAGTTAAAATAGTTATACTTACCCATTTTGTACTATATCAATGTTCGATATGTCAAAATATATTTCAAATAAATCTAAATCCTTACGTAATTGGAAAAAATGCAGAAATGCCCGAAAAACGTCCAACAATTACAAAATATTTTATTTTCTTAATAAAAACGTTCTTTTCGTTTTTTAATGTTATCTCGCTTATTGTTAGAGATGGACCCAACAACCCTTATATGACTGTGCTCGACAGGGAACGTTCTATCCAAATGTGTAAAAATATACAGGGTGTTCCATTTAAATTAACAAAGTTAACATCCGCGGTCATTTTGTTTGAACTTCGTTTGTTTTTCTACTATCATATTCGAAAATTTCATAAAAAATCGTGCAACTTTTGTATTTTACATTTTTTTTATAACTCTTAGAACAAAAAAGTTAAAGGGGGTCAAAATATAGTGAATCACCCTGTACATACCAGATCTGATACAAAAATAACCGACCTCTTTGAATTTGCGGAACCACATGTTCTTAAATTGTCGATACCTATCCTTTTAGTTTTCATGATATTGTTATTTGAGTGCAACGTGCTGAAATGTTAGTGACAATTTTTAAAACGTGTCATTTTTTGGAACAACGATCCAACGTAAAATTTTGCGTGAAACTGGGGAAAACTTTCACGGAAGAGTTTCAACTTTTCAGAAAGGCTTTCGACTTTGACTGATGACTCCCAAGCACAGAAAAGTTAAAGATCTTGACAATGCGCACAGTCAGCTTTGTCAGTTTGTCAGTTTTGCGCCAAAAATCAGATTGCTGTCCTCTCTCGCCCTCCTTACTCGTCAGATCTGACACCTTGTGACTTTTTCGTACTGCAAATTCGTCACAGGCTTTAAAGGACATTTCAAATGAAGCAATCTAGGACTGCTTCATGAAATGGAAACGTCGATGAGAAAAGTGTGTGAATAGGGGAGGGGATTACTTTAAACTACAAATAAAGTTAAAAAATTTGAGTTCGGTTATTTTCTGAACAGTTCTCATACACTGCAAAAATGAGCACGCTGTATACTTACGATTATAAAAACTAAACATACATACCAGTACTTGTTAAAAGGCCTTCTCCTAACCACAAATCCATAAAAGTATAGCTAAAACTTTTTTTTATGTTTTTTGTTGTAGATGCTATTGCCTAAAACGAAAATAATAATAAAATACATGAAAAAATACTTAACTGCATTAAAACCTTATCAAACTCTTCCATAAGGTGATATTAATTTGTACCTACTCGTACTTAAATAAATACTTTTCAACATTTTTGGAGAAATAATAATAAGTGTATGTGAATAAGTAGATACCCTCTTACCTCAAAATCTTCTGGACCTGATATATTAGCAGTAAACTGAAAACCAACGGATATTTTGTACACAGGATAATGTTCCTTGCTCCATTTTCTAATATTTTTTAATAAAGTTTCTAGAAATGCAAAAATTTACATAAAATTAAGCACATGAAACACGGTGCCTTACGGTTAGGATATTTTTATACACATTAAAAAGTAAATAAAAATAATTTAAATATGGCTGTATTTCAAAATCCAGCACATTTGTTTTCTTTAAATTTTGTTTTGCTAGTCTTGTTCAACGCGTAAGTCTATACAATTATATTTATAACAATTATTCTAAGCATGTACCTAAGCATGTTTTGATACATCTTTAAAATCTGCTATATTGTGTGTTATTATAAAAGTAAATTAGGTACTCTTTAAGAAATATTTTTGAAACAGTACATCTTTTTAATTATTTTATTTTACTTACCTCCATCGCATAGCAGATCAGGTATATTTCCCAAAAATAAATAACTTTTAGGCCCTGGTAACTTAGTTATTAATGTTATAAATCTAATATACTCCGACATATATTTACAACTGTAAACGAATGATAGTATTCCAATAAATATAATAAAAATTGTTAACCACATTGTGGCAGTAAGATATTAACAACCAATGCATCTATCAACTGTCCTTAAATTAATGCATCTTTGAAACTTTATATATCTTTTCTTTAATCAAAAGTTAGTAAAAACTAATAAATAATAATTTAGTTAATTAGTACAGAGGTCATAAAAGAGATTATTTTGACTAACTAAATATCTTCGAACATAATACGTATAATCAGTACTTCTATATTTCTTGAAATAATTTGAGAATGGGACGTTTGATATCGTTACAAGCTCACTATTTAATTTAACTAGAAACAAATCTTATTTTGTTGATAGATGTGGTATGTAAATGCACAATAATTAAACTGTCATCTGAAACCATAACTTAAATTGAGGAAGAGAAAAGGACTAAAAATGTTTATTTAGGTCGATATATTTAGGTGGATATGAGTACATATAAATAAAAATAATGAATAAAATTAATTAAAAGATGACACTTATTATCATTCTGCTGTATTACATCTTTAGTAAATAAAACGGATGAGTTTGAGATGAGTATGAGTTCAGTTAATATTTGCAAACAAACATAACAAACTCATAAAAGCTCTTGTAAGCTGTTCAAAGTCTTACAGAGTTAAATAAAAATAAAAAAAATTAATTTATAAATCCTTATGGTTCTTAATACCTACCTATTTAATCCATAATCCTCCAGTTCCCCTAATACGGGCACTTGTTAAATATATGCCAAATGTAAATAAATGCATTATAGAATATTTGTTTGTAGATATGTATTTGTTAAACGTATACTAATGCCGAAACACGTGGATGGTGCACACCACAGACCACCTAGACTGGCATATAGAGCTAGTTTGGTGAAAACACTTTGGAGCCTGATTTGGAGCCCAGCGTTCAGTGGTGTTCTAGCATTTGACGTGTACGCATCGCTGTGATTTCGATAATTAGACGTTTTATCATGGGCAAGTGTATTGTAAAACATTGTATAAATACAAGTGATCGAGTTGGTGAAGAGAAGCGAAAAGTTTCCATCTTTAGGTAAGTAAAAAAAAAGGAACATATAAAAGGTAAATATGTACGCCATTTTTCGGTTGATGTCACAAGTTTCGAGGGTTGGCTTTATAATTTTGTTCGCTCACATAGTGTAGTGATTAACGTGATATTGTTATTATAAAATAATGAATGAATTACTGTAAAATATTTTTAGTAATTATTTACTTTATGCAAGTCTTAAATTTTTATGAAATTTTACCAATTCTCGTCATTTCGAGATAGCTGAAAATTAATTAAATATTTTTCTGAATTAAAAAAATCGCAAACAAAACTAATTTCAGATTCAGTATTCGTACAGTCAATTAATTTTTATTAAATATCGTGGTTGTTTGACGTATCCATCTCGAGATGTCGTAGTAATATGCTAAGAAACAGAAAAATTAATAAAATTTTTAAATAATGATGAAAGCGGAACACCTAGGCTACAGAAAAATAAAATTGTTTATCATGTATTAAAAAACTTTCTGAATGTGAACATATTTGAAAATTTGCATGAACATCAATTTGATAATTTGCCTAACAATTGTAATCATTTAAGAGATCTTGTAAGGGCTGAATGCGAAAAGTATATCGATGTACGAATAAATCATGACGTCAAATTATTTAATTCAGTAAAATCTACGAAAAGGCAAATATTAAATAAATTAATATTATTTAGAGGATAATAAATATATTTAAATTATTTTGTAGTTTTAGTTATAATGACACTAAAATATACTATTTTCTGAATAATTACAAACTTTAAATTGAATATTTGTCATAAGATGCAATATAATGTTTAATATGTAATAAAAATATTACTTAATCCGGATCTGCTTAAAGATGCGCGCGATCAGATTGCCTTCCACACTCCACTTCTCCGGATTTTGCATTCACTGGTACCCGTGCATTGGAATTAGATACGGCCAGTCTAGGTGGTCTGTGGTGCATACCTACATATTCGAAAACCATACAAACGGCACACCGTTTGGGTTATTCGACAACTGAATATTATTTGATATGTGATGGTTTGCTCACCTTTCCAATCGGGACTGAGAAAAACTCAGAACTCCACGCTCTGAAAGACGTAAACTACCTTCGACGAGAGGTAAAATTTGCAATGCGGAAATTCACACTTTTCTCCCAGTATCCAAAATTTCCGAGAAGCTCCAAGCCGCCCCAAAACACCATAACCGTAGTAGACGACGGAAAAACCGCTCCAAGTTAGGATTTCAGGAACAAAAAATGTTTCGAATCTTTCGAAATTCGAGCTGGAAAGAAGCAAAATACAATCAGAAGTACCATGCCGACACATATAGGCTGATTGTTCATTCTAATGTGGACTTCTATGTAGGATCATGGACCGAACGAACGTCCAGTGTATACATACGATTAAAATTATATACTTTATCTATACAAACCATATTTATTGTTATTAACGACCAAAGTTAATCAATAAATGATAATTTTTATAAACGAATTATATATATTTCCAAACGAAAAAAATATTAAATTGAGTTCAAAGCTCTAAATGCTATTAGAGTAATCCACAAAGACATGCCCTAATTGCGATGAAGGGGGTACACACTACACAGCGCTAAAACTGGCATATACACAGGAGGCAAAGTACAAATAAGCTCCTAAAACTTCATCCCGGAATTTAACTTAAACTTTAGTGCCCTGGCAAAGCACTCAAAGACAGTGAAAGAGACACTACAGTCTCGAAGTGCTCCATAAATTCAGTTCAAAACAAACATACAAGGGTCATTTGAAACCCTTCAGAATAAACTAAATCAAAACAAAATCTTTCAAATTAAAGCAAGTGAAAGGGCACAAAATAGAGCGTGGACCATTATTCTAAAGCAAATCTCGTCAATATCATAGAGGAAGAGCGACATTGGAAAAGTTCCAACTATATATTACTCCGAATTTTTATACAATTATTAATGAAAATTATTAAGGACAGCATTATTTTTCGTGCTTTCAGAAAAATAAGGCAAGGGTCTTGTTACTTGTATCTTGTTGGTGTAGAAAAAGATAATATTAAATTTCGTCGAAGTGGTCATATAAAAAATCATGACACCTATACCGTGTGTTATATTAGGAGATGATTTCTAAGTAAGAGAGCTTCCGTTACGAAAAAAATTGAATAAAATTTGAAAAAATAAGAAATTAAGATAGGGGTTACTCAGCTTGGGATCTCGAAAAGGGTTGTACATACATATAGTATATACAAAATTTTTTTGTCATAACCAAATGACAAAATTAAATTTTCGTAGTATGCCAATAATAAATGAATTTCCAAAAATGTATTTATTTATTTATTCACTTAGATTCCCTCATTCTGCCGTTACAGTATATACACCTTGTCATAAAGTACCTGTTTTTATTAAAATAGTAAACTATTATACAGTACGTTCACAGAAAATGTGTTTATTAGGAAAACTTTCAAATTTTTCATTTTATCGAAAAAAGTTACTCTTGACAAAAATTTTTGCTGATTCTTAAAGTAAGATTGGGATAGAAAAATTTTAAATTTTTTGTGATGTTCAAAAAATTGAAAAACTTTATGGTACAACAGTAAAGTGCACTTATTTGTATAGTTGTGGAAATAAGTTACAAGGAAAAGTTGTTCAAACCTAAAAGGCAGTTTCTAATACTAATTTTCGAAAAAAATCGGCCTACTTTTATTTATTTGTAATTGTTAAATTTATTTTATACAAATTAAATTATTTTTAAGGACTGGCTCAGTATTGCGAATACCCTAAGTGAAAAATAGATTCAATACATGCAGTAGAGGAACATCCCAAATTATCATTAAGTAGAGCTGAAAAACTCCAATTTGTTAAAAAGTCGCAAATTCAGAAAATATTAAAACACAATAAGATGCATCCATACAAGTCAGTTTTTAATAATTTTTTGGCAGTCGGTGATGAAGCAGAACGTTTGGATTTTTGTTTGTGGGTTGGCAGTATGGAAAGAGGATTTTAAAAAAGTAGTTTTCTGATGAATCAACTTTTTAAACCAATGGTGTTGTGGCTTCGCAACATGCACGACATTGGAGTGATTCTAATTCGCATTTTCGGATACCAAGAAGGCGTCAGTAGTTTACTAAAGTAAATGTGTGGAATAGTTACTTAGATATGTTAAGCGACTTTCTTGACGGTGAATTAGAAAACCTTCCGTTAGAATACCGTCGTTCATTTTGTTTTCAACAAGATACATGCCCGGCACATTATGCGACAAATGTAAGATGGTTAGATACATTTTCAGACTAGTGGATTGGGAGACAAGAACAGTTCATTGGCCTAGGAGCCCAGATATGACAATAATGGATTTTTTCCTATGGGGTCGACTAAAACAAATTGTTTATGATACTCCTCTAATAGATTCCAATATTGCTCAATT